AGCTGTACATGCGGCGGGACACATGCAGGCTGGCGGCCTCGCCGCCGCGCAAATGTGAAATTTATTTAAGCTCTCGATTATGTTTCGGTATGGCACAAGCATAAACTCACCTTGCGGTATTGGTCTTCTTCAACTGGACACTTGATAAGTCGAACACACTCGGGCGTACAGGCAAGGGCTCTTGATCGCTATGCGCTGATTTGTTGAGCATTTGTAAGACAGTGCGCTGAAACCTTGCAAGGTAATCATCCGACACAATTCGACGAAAGATCAAATATTACCTTAGTAGGAGTTGGTGCACTTGCTGCAGTCAAGATTTTACTAGCGGATAACGATGGAAGCGGAGGAGGTGGAGGAGGAGGTGGTCCAGGAGGCGGACAAATTTTTGGAATAACAGGCATGCGCTGTTGATCTGGTGGGACCAATCCCTGGAAAAGATGCTTAGGTAATTTAACTTAACAACTTTGAGACTTCATACTTTCACAGTATCAGCAGGACTACACAACGAAGCTCCCTTTCCTTCATCATCTGAAAAAGTTGGAGAAGCATTACAGGGACGAGCAGTAGGAGCCGCTTTTCCACTCAGAAGAGACTGCATCTGTTTCGATAGAAAAGCCAGTTGAGCTTCTAGAGATTGAATCTAAAGAGGTACGCTACTTTTTGATCTAAACACTAAAAAGATGAATTATATACCACTTCGACGCTAACCTTCAAGTCTTGGTCAGTCGCCATTGTGCTGGGCAAGGATAGCCGCTCATCCTCATCATCAACTACGCTCATTTTAAGAGGACGATTGAAAAGCTTGAACCAAATTGCGTAAATTATAATGTAAAAGCGCAATGTCACTAGTACCTGAAATTCTCCTAATTCACTATCGCTTTCACTTTTGAAAGGAGCTAGAGGAGCAGGTAAACAAGCCCATGCTGGAGATCGTATTGTGTAAGCATGGACTACGCCTAAGCAGATTCTTTTCAAAGATCGTTAGAAAAAGGCTCCGTCCTTTAAACCTCTTTCACTACAGAGTAGCACAAAATACGACTAAACTAACCATCCTCAACTTCTTCGTCGGTGGTAAGTACAATTGCAATATCATTGAAGGTATATTTTGGCGGTTTCCAACGAGACCTCAGCGGTACCTTAAATCATGACTTAACAGCTCTAGCAGGACAAACATTAGAACCTCTCACCGCATTAAAAATCATAGCTTCGTCCTGATCAAGATCCGATAGTTGTTCGATCGGTACTCGCCTTGATTGCAAATCATTTTTTTTGCAGATTCCATAAAAAACAAGAAAACCTCCACATCTTTAATACCAAACATACATGTCAGTTAGATCGATGAACCGTCGTGCCACTCTGCGAAGATCTATTTGCACGCCTCTATAGAAAAACTGACGAATCCTAATGCC